AGAATTCTTTAATACTTCCTTCATAATTCACATTAAAATTTACAATTTGAAGATCCAATGCAGTTGTTTTTGTTAAAGATCAGATGGATAAAATTTCAATGAAAAATCTAAAACTGATTTTTTTTTATCCAAAGCTTTTATGCCCACCTATACACACACCACACAGAATCAGAATTTTTAATGTCAACTAAAGAGAAATAGGATGTTTATTGGCCGTCGATTCCACATTTAAAAACAAACATTTGGATGTTAGACAATGGCATATCCATGTTGTAAGAGTAACATACAAAATGGAATTTGTAGAGAGAATACATAAGCATGATGGCAAGCTCTTAATAGCCAGTAAGCTCTGCAAATGTCTGGTCCAATTCGTCTGAGATTGCCTTGTATTTCTCCTTTTCTTGAACCAGTTCATCTTCCAGTCTGTCAACCTCCTTTTGTAGTTTTTGCACAGATCGTTCAGCAAATTCTGCTCGTGCTTCAGCCTCTTTTAGTTTGGAGGACGAACCACGGATCTGGGTTTCATAAGCCTCTTCTCTTTGTTGGGCCTTCTCCTCACTGACTTCCAGAGATTTCAAGTTATTGCCAACAACTCTCAACTCCTCTTCAAGCTCCACAATTTTGTTTTCACCTGTCTCAGCACGTTCCTCAGCACGTTCCAAATCAGCTTCAACCATTGCCATCTTACGGGCAACCTCATCATATTTGCGATCTGCCTCCTCAGCCATCAGCCTAGCTTCCTTAAGTTGATCTTCAAGGGCATCCATACGTTCCTCATCTGTTATGCTCCTGTGCTCAAGCATCTTGCGCATACGCTCACTTTCATCAGCTGCCTGGGAAGCTTCCTCAAGTTTAGCAGTAGCAGTTTTAAGACGCTCTTCAGAACGTTCAAGATCTTCCTCTAAGAGTTGGATACGCCTGTTTAAGGCAGCCACTTCACCTTCAGCGGCTTGCAAGGCTTTGTCTTTCTCCTCCAATTTGTTGTTCGCTTGGGCCAGTTGCTCCTGTACTTGATCCAATTCATTCTCAATCTGCTGGATTTTCTTCTGGAGAGAACGAACTTCCTCTTCCGCCTTGTCAGCGCGGAGATTTGCATCCCGAGATTGGTTCTCTGCTGTTTCGGCCCTGTCAACGGCATTGTCCTTCTCCAACTTCATGCCTTGCATTTTCTTCTTGATGGCCTCCATTGTGTCCGGTTAGGTGGATGGGCACCGAGAGCAGAGACAGAAAGAGATCGACGAAGACCAACTGGGAGCGAACTGAGCAGCGACTAGCCCAAGAACCGGGAACGAGTGCGAGTGCGGGATGTATCCTGCGATCACCAATTTACCCACTCGCT